GCAGAATGCTTACTCTAAAAACATGCCTTAGTTCAAACAAGAATTTGAGGAAGTCTTAGAAACTGTGCTCTACAAGACAGCAGACTGAGCACATGGTGTTTCCTTCTGCCTTCTCAATCAGATAACACTGGAACAGTTAAGTTTGTCTCATGGACATACCTCAAAGGAGGTACAGATTTTAAAAGGGAAGAGAAGTCTCATGCATTTTGGACACTCTGGACCATGCAACACAGCCGGAGGCTATATGGCTGCATTACAGAACAGCCTGAAAGGAAGCATCACCTAGACACAGCAAGAGTGTTAAATTGTGCAGGTAGGGACCCCACATTTCTGTCCCAGGAATTATGAGAATGAAAGCAGCAACAGCAAACTACATTTCCCCCAGTGGATGCCAGAAATTTCCCATGCCAGCCCAAGCCTGTGGGGGTACTGCTCCTTTCAGGCTGCGTGTCACAAGAAAGAAAAAGACAGATGTAATGCACCCGAAAGAAGCAATTCACCTTTTTCACCTCAGTGAAATAAAGGTGAACAGGCCTGCCATCCTGCAGATAGACTTTACCATGTAAAGAAAAAGCTAGCCACAGGAGACAGAGACCTGAAAAGTTCCTGCTTGAATTGTACCCATACCTTTCACAAATACAAAATTTGCAAACATTGAGTTTCCAGGCTCAGGGAATGAAATTACTTCACTTGACGGCACTGCTTTTTGGATATAAAGTAATGAGACTCAACTTGTTGCCTTCTCTAGTGCCAAGTAAGAACTCTAACCAGAATCTCCTCTACCTTAGGACAGGACCTCATGCCACAAGGCTGCTGGCTGTTCTGGAGATGACTGTCTAGTTCTCACTGTGTCATCTTTGAACAAAGACAAGACCATGTAAGATGGCCACATTTTGAAAAATGTGTTTCACTGAAAAGGTGGTATACAGATTTAGTTGAAAAATGTTCTTCAAGAGAGAATATAATTTTTCACTCAAGTAATTCTTTCAGTAGCCAAGTTCCTCACTTCACAATTTGAAAATTCTGAATACCTGGCTGACAAGATTAAGGAGTTCACCCTGCACAGACGGTGAGCATAATGTACAGTCATCACATGGGAGGTAACAGTTCAGGGATGGAAAATGCCTTCCAGGTTGTTCATGATAGATCTATGGCAATGGTCACCCACAACAATATATATATTTTAGTGTTCTGTTCAGCCAACTTTTACTCATACTCCTCCTAGAGACCCTTTAATTTATACATACTGTTAAAGCTCACATGACTGTCTTCAGAGAGATATATCATAGTATCACTTCTGTATCTGCACTTTCCCACACGGGCAACATGTTGTTGTGGAGCTGTAGGTAAAGCATGTTTGGAACCAAGGACTTTGCAGTTTAACAGCATTAAAATAATCCACAAACTTTTCAAGTATGTACTTTATTTCATTCATATTTCACAGTCTGTTTCTGTAGAGTTTTAGCAAAAAGGTCATGTTCTACAACAGAGTTCTTAGGCTACTGTATTCAGAGCTGGCAATGGACGTCAAAAGTACAGAAAATGTTTACATTCCAACTAGAGCAGTAGAATTTCAAAAATACACAGTAGAAGTAATAAAAAATACCAACTTTTTAAAAACTTAATAGAAAACCAGCAGCTGACCCATCAAGCTACCCTGCCTGCTACTTGTCAGCAGCAACTGAAGCCCCAGCAGGCCATCTGATTGACTTTTTAGACTGAGACAGCTGCCTTCAGCTAACTTGTTAATGCAAAGTCTTGCTGCTACAAAGGTTAAAAAAAAAAATAAAAAAAATCTGTAAGTTCATTGCTTACAGGTTTCCAATCAGAGAGGCTAATATTTCCACTCAAATCCACTGGAACACTTCCAGATCCTGCCCAGAATCAGGACCTATTCTGGTCCTGATGTAGTGAACTAGTTTTCTTGACACAATTCCAACCTAACCTATTTTATTAAATTGCAACCAAGAAAGGAAAGCCCTTATTGTTTAAAGGCTTAGCAGGGCTTCTAGGAATAAAGGCAGCTAAGAGAAATTGAACAGAATGGTACTTGATGATGTATATATCACTAGGGGCCTTCAACATCCTTTTTTTACAGATGTTGCATCAAGATTTGCAGTTACCTAGGGATATGTTTCCTAAGGGGCCCCAGATTTACATATAATAGTTTCAGAGTGGATTTTTCTAGTTCAGCAAATACTATTTAAATCTGGACTGATGCCCAGTAGGAGATCTCTAACCAGCTGCTGGACTTTATTCACAGATTTATTGAATATATATTTATACAAATTACACCAGCTGAAAGGCCAATCACCTATAAGAACACCCACTTCAGCCCATCCTCAGTGCTGTCAGGGGAAAAAATGCATGTGGTACTGTGTGGACAATGAGAGCTTTCTATCAGCTAGAGTCTCCCTAAGTCAGAGGGTATTATCCTGCAAGGCTGATTTTTCCTTCCTTTTACTTTGCCAGAGCAGTTGAAATAGGACAGAGAAGAGGTCACTGGTAGACCCACTTTTTCTTGTCTCAAACACTAGGATTGGACTTTTTTTTTTTTCTGACTTCCTTTCATCTCTAGATAGCCTGAGTCCATGATCTTGCTTTCTAGGACAATCACTTCCTAAAATACATATATATTCTGAACTTCAAATTCTTCTCTCTATTTGATGGATAGAATAAGAATTTTACGAAGAGTAGGAAAGATATCCTATGCATTTTCTCACACCTCACCTTCTAGGCCTATTACAGGTAACAGATCAATGGAACGCCTCCTCTCCTTCCTGTAAGATCATAAGAAACAAACTTATCTTTTGGGATTCTTTCACAAATGGCCTAAGGTACTATCACATGCATCCTGCCAAATGTCATTCAGCACAGATACAACTGATTCCAAAAGAGCTAGACTGGACATTATTACATGGTACTATGCTGCCTTCCTGCCATCTGGGTTTGCTGACTGAGTGTCGATATTGCTGTGCTGCACATTATGAGACATCCTAGTATGCACAACTACAGCAGGTACATTTAAAAAAAAACATGACAGAACATAGTCTATGAATACTTTTCTTTTAATCAATTCCCACGTATTGCACTAGTCTTCAGCAAGTGGGCAGGATACCATGAAAGGCATGGCTATTAGTTTGCTACAGCTCCACTACAGTGCATTCTGCCATGAAATTTCACTCTAGGCCTATGGCTAGTGGAAGCATGACTTGCATTTCTCCTCTTTGTGAGACATGTACAGCATTTCTTTCTATCAGTCTAAAGGGGGAAACCCCTTAAAAGAGAGAAGCCCCTTAACAATTTCTCTAATGCACATATTTGAGGAAGACTACAAAAGCACTCTCCACAGTCTTCTGCAATATTGATTCCCAGAGGCACCAGAAAATGAAAAGGGTCTAGTCACAAATTAGCAAGACATCCACTCTAATTTTAAGTTTCTTTTTTTAAGAATCTGAAACAGATGACAGAAGTGATCAAAGCATCAAAATACCCAGTCGCCTAGACTGCACAATTTTTTAAAAACATTGTCACGCAGAAAGGAACATACCATAAACAATCCAGATTCCTTAACGTTCTTAGACAAAGCTATTCTTAGTTCTCTACATAGACTGCCTCTGAAAAAAAACCTTCAGATTGGACGGAGTGACATAGTTAAGTGTCTAGGTAAACTGAAATGAAATAAATGTCTGTAGAACAGCTTTTGTAACATGAGTACTGTGGATCTCTACTAGTAAGGCCTAATATCTTATGCACACAGTGGTGTGAACTATATTTCAAGGCAAGCAGGCTAGGAATGATATAAATTTACGTGGAAGAAAAATGTTTTGGCTTTTTTTGTTGCTTTTTTTTCTTTTTAAGTTAAAACTCAGGTAGATAAAACTTTTAGGGAGATTATCCAAGCTGATGTTTCTTCTTTTTTTTCTCCTTTCCCTCTTCCCCTTCTTCTCCAGGTGCATTCATCTGATTTCCATAAATAAAAAAGGAAGGGAAAGGGAATGGGAGAAGGACTTGTTTCATCACAGGCCATTATGCCCCTTTCCTTTAACTGCTCTGCTCTTTTTTTATACTTAGCAATCAGATTTCACAGAAAAAAAGGAGTTCAGGTTTGCACACTAAAGATATACATATCAAATAATAAGCAACTAGTCTTGCCAAATTAATCCTGGTGAATATCTTCCTTGTACTGTTGTAAAAAGAAGTCACCGCATTCTTTAATAACAACGTGTAATCTGTTAGCTACTGAGAAAATCCAAAGCCACTTGCCTTGTACCCTTGTTAGCCATAAATAAATATGGCTTTGGAAGAAACACTTCCAGTGCAAGCCATGTCATTTTCTTTCACTCAACTGTACAGATCAGAATCAAAAGTATACTCATCAAAACATGGAATTTCACTTGAGTCCTAAGACACTCATTACTTTGACCAAAGTCTGCAATTAATATAGAATGCTGTTTCAGCACAAGCAGATCTCCACTAATTCAAACACGTTAAAATCACAAAGCAAGAATCTCTGCTACAATGAAGGACAGCAACAGCCTAAAGATAACCATCCCACCAACCTAAGTTTCCTCTCCTCACACCAACTCCCTTTATCTACTTGCAGCTGATAATGGCCCGATATCGTGGCCTGTTCTGCTGTTCCATTCTCAGAACTGACTATCTGAAGATGGGAATAGGAAGATGCTTGCTTGCAGAATACTGCAAACGACTGTCTTTTCACTGCAGGAATGGGAACATGCCAGCAGAGCACATCCAAGCTTCTCGAGTCCAAGGAAGTACACAGAGTTAGCATGGAGTTCAAGGTCACACTGAAGTAGTAAGGACCCATTCTGTCAAGACTCCACCACGCTATTCCAGTCCCACAACTGGCTCTGAAGACAAGTTGTTAATGGCATGCCACTTCACAAGTCCTGGACTCAGAAAATGCTCAAGTAAAAGCTTGAGACAAGAAATAGGAGGCACAGAAATAACTTGACCAACAGCTATGTACCTTTTTACTACATGCTGGGATAAATGGACTCTTCAAGGTTGCTATCAGCTTTATCAGATCCTGTTAGAGATGCTTCTAGCTCTGCCCATGACTGTGGAGCATTGTTCTGTATTGCCTCTATGAAAAGCTGCGTTTGGTGCTTCAGCCGGTCCAGCTCAGCCTGAGTCACCTGGTTCTGATGAATGAGCTCCTTGGTTTTTAAAGTGATCTCCAGCAATCCCGACCTGCGTAGCACAACGAGTGTATTCTGAAAGCGCCTGCACTTGCTTTGCTGTTGCAAGAGCAGCTCAGGGGTAGTACAAATCTCTTCTGGTATCAATGGGGGGTTCCACACTGCAGACTGCATCGTAGCCTGTGCTGCACTCTCACTCTCATGAGGGGCGCACTTTGTTGTCTGCAGAGTTCCAAAAGGCAAAAGGGGAGTCAAACCTGGCACTTTTTGAGCGTCACTGGAAACACGATGAACAGCAGGAAGAGCTGACAGTTTTTCACTTGTCACCAGAGTTGAAGAACTTTGCTGGTTAGAATCCTGAGGGGTCTTAAAGCTAACTGGTAGGTGAGCAAAAGGACTAGTAGGCAATCCTGTGCTTCTGGATACAGGAGAAGTCTCCATCTTGGGTGCTTCTGTGCAGAGTCGTTTATGGCAAGTGGTCTCCTGACGTTCTTCTAGATCAAAGGAGTGATCTCTTTTGCAGGGCTGTGGTGCTATTTTGGGATAAGAATTCAGGATGGGCAGGTAATTAGTGGAGTCATTTCTCTTTTTCCCAACAAGGTGAGGGTGAGCAGGAGGTGGGATTGATGGACGAAGAAACAGTAGCTGTGGCTGAGCTGGAATCACTTCAAAGGATGGCTGCACAGTCCAAGACTGGAGCTGTGATGAACTCCCCTGAGAAGCACAAACGGGGAAAAAACAGAAGTCTTACAACAATATTACAGAAGCAGATAAAAAAACCTTAGATGAAACAGGTGGACTGTGCCATTTCTCCGTATTTGATATACACTGTCCACTTAATACATTCTGAACAGTTTTCCATCCAACTCATCCTTCTCTTTCTCCAACAACAGAGCACAGCACCAGAATCAAAGCTGAAATCCATAATCCTTTTAGTATGGAACAGAAGACACATTTAAAAACAATTCAGTCTGAATTTATACATGCTTTACTAAATGAGGATTATAGTGCATGTTTATATTGTACAACGCTCATGTAAAAGTTTGACCCAGACTTGGGAGTTGAACAAGAAGTGTACAGAAAAGTTGAAAAATAACTAAGCATTGTGGTTATGAAATACTTAAAGAGTCAAAGAAAGATTGCACAGACATTTTAGGAACAATTCAGACTCATCTTTGTCAAAAGGCAGCAACTCTAATCTTGTCAATTCTATTATAATAGCAAGCTTTTGAAATGGTTATTTAAACTGCTGACAGCTGTTCAGAAGTCTTGCAATCTTAAGTACAACGCACAGGTTCAATAAATTTAAAACCATGAAGTAGAAAAAAAATGCTCAATATCAGACAATGCAAGGGGAAAAGCCTGTTGGAAGCCCAGAGCAGCTTCACTCCATACCTCTGGTGAAATGGTGCACATTGATAAACCTTAAAAGCATTATATTTTAATAAAAACGAAGCTTTTACTCCTCCCTAGAAGCCATATTCTACAATATACGGGAATACATCCATTTTTACAAGACATTACCTCTTCCTCTTCCAAAACATTACTATGGATCTTCATGAGATCTCTGGGCCAAAAAGCATGCCTGCTTTTTTGCAAACACATCAAATGGTCTGGTAAAAGACACTATTTCTTTCTGAAACAAAAATCTCACTTCTTAATGTATTTAAGCCATCACCATTACAATTATACTAATACCATATACTGTCAGCTGCTTTTCCCATTCCTTATAACTTGGAACACTACTGGCAGGCCTGCTGAAGGGACAGTTTTTAGCGATTTATTTTTATTATTTTTGGTACTATACTGAGTAATCTTAAATCCATCTCCTTTCCCCCAGTCTCATAAGATTTTAACTGGCAAATGCTAACATGCTTTGCTGAAGTCCATTTCCCCAGTAAAGGACTTGAACTCGTCAAAACTGGGTATTACCCACGGATTAGGACACTGAGACTTGGAGATGAGATTCAATTACCTGCTTTGACAAAGAATTTGTTTGTTTCAGTGGGCAAGGTGCTTATGCAATAGGCGTACAGAACAACTACCTGTAAAAAATTAATATTACTACCTTATCACAGAAGAAAGGACAAGCACATTCAAAAGAAAAGTACCTGGAGATGTTAGAATTGAGGAAGTACATAAATAGCATTGTTATATATATTACATACACATATAGAGGACAGAACACGCAGCCTTAAGGAGCAAGGTTTTAGGGTCAGAAGTTGTCATTTATTGCACAATTGCACAGTATCCAGCAGACCCCCAAAATCACCGAGGCTAAAAGAGCTGTGGCAACTGTTTATCTTGTTGTTGTTTTTTCCTGTTTCTGTTATCTACTTTCTTCTCCTTTCCACTCATGTTGCATTCTGCCCTTGTTCTCCTACCCAAAATCTCAGTTTTAGTAGGAAGGACTTTTTTTTTTTTTTTTTACTAATTCCGCAAAGTGGTTTGGTTTTTTTAAATGAAAGCTAACATCCTGTAGGTATCAGTGTCACTTGTCTAAAAAGCCTTCCTACTTACTAAGGACTTTTACAAGACTTACAGAAACCTTGCCACAAGCAGTATTCTCTGCTTTTTTTTTTTTCAGTAACATTATTGTTAGCTGTTTACACTCTGAAATTGGGACAGCAGGTAACCATCACTATGCAGGATCACACTGGTTCCAAGACAGAAGGATGACGTTGATTGAAATTGAAACTGGAACAAATAAACAGCAGTAACTGGATGCTACTTTTTTTTTTTTTCTAGTCCCGCGAGCCCAACTGAGGGCTGTGTTGAAAAGACCATTGTAAAAAATAATCACCATGACTATCTCAGATAACTAGGCGTAATGGAAAGAGGCAGAAAGACACTTTATTATTATTCTGACCTACACTTGTTGCTATTGCTTATCACAGTAAACATTTTTCAATTTAACATTATTGTCCTTAACCATACATAATTAGACTTAGATGTTACGACGCACTGTTCAAGAGAACCGAGTCTGGTAATTTTATCTACTTCCAACTCCTCCTCCCCAAATTCCCTTTTTGCTACACTACTGTTTTTTTAATTCATTTATATATATTTTATATACATATTTTCTAAAAACATACATATATAAGCTACTTGTTATCAGCTAGTTCTACTAACTGTTCGCAACACAACCTGGAGTTTAACACTAGACCATCACTGCAACCAGTGTTTAATTTTTGAGCTCTGGGCCAAGGCCTATCAACCTTTGTGAAGCTTGTCTACTCCCTACCACATGAAAACTTCAGCATTTGTTTAGATAGTATTTTGTGCACACATCTAGAAACACGACTATAAAATAAAGTTGTTTCTTGAAAAGATAAAGCACAATGCTCAGAGATCAGAACCATCTCCCCCACAAATGCACAATCTGCCAAATACTAACAGAAACGTGTATCTGTGTTAGCGCTGATACACTGTATTTGAATTTAATAGGTTTTGCTTGTTGTTGTAAACAGATACAGTAGAAAAAGAATCAGGTTCTATATTCTTTCCCCCCCTTCTCATTGTAATCTCCGAAGTATTCTAATAAAAACTGCTGAAAAACTTTTGCCCTGATCAGAAAACATGAATGAGTACAAAGCAAGAGGTTTAATAATACAGCAGTATTTTGAACGTGGAGCTCTAACATCTTCTGTTACCACATGAAAGTTAGGAGTCCCATAGATGTGCTGGAGGAACAACAAATACAAGATATTGGAGGTCATAAACAGGGAATGTAATTGTTGCAGTGTGAGCCATCACATGCAATTAAGAGAAACAACTGTAAAAATACCACAGCTAGCTTCAGATACAGATTGAATTTTTTCACTTATTACATTCTGGCTTAATGTCTCCCATTGCACACAAAGCACTTCTAGGACCCAAGAACTAGAAAGCAAAACCCATCATCCTATTTTACTGTCTTTATTGAATTAAAAAGAAAACATCAGCTTTCAAAACAAAAAACACTTTTTTTGTTTGATCATTGAGACTATTTATGTAAAATTCTTAAAGATCTGTTTTGGCAGGATCCCTTTGATCAGCAGATGTACCAGAGTTTCTCCATTTCACATTTTTCCCCTCTTAGTGATTCTACCTGCCCCTCAAAAGAATAAGCTGTCACAACAGGATTTTTCAAGTTACCACTTACTTTCTGGACAGTAAAAAATTAAAAAAAAAACAGTTTAAGAACACGCAATATTTTTCAATGTATTATTTTCTCCCTACCTGCTTAACTAACACATTTTTCATTACGACCATAGGAGAAAGCGCAGGAAAAGAGTTGCTTGTGGTCATTGGGCATTGCCAAGGGCCTTCCTCTGTGTTCCAACACAGCGCATTCAGCACGTCCTCTGAGTCAGTCTGCTCCATAGCACTCGGGCACTCTGAACTTCCATCTGCCAAATATATAATTCAGCTGTTAGTTGTTTCACACGCAGCATGTTTGCTCCCTCCTCTCACTTCTACTATTCTACTTCCTTTCAACTAAGTCACAAAGAACAATAAAGTTTACTTCTGAAATACCAGTAAAATTAGACCTGCTGTGACAGCTGTCAAAGAGTGTTTAACAAAAAAGCTTTACATTTCAGGCCAGTTCTCATGCAGATATTGTCTCCCAAGAAATCTATTCCTTTTTGTTCTTTTCTACTTAGTCTCCAAGGGACACCACCACAAAGACTGCTGCAAAGACTGGCGCAGGAAAGAATTACAGGCTTCAGCATTGCCACAGCCACAGCCTGCGCTGCTGGCATGTTGTATTTTGAAATCTTCTATCTACAAACCCAATAAGGCAGGTATCTCTCACAAAAGTGTTTTTTTTTCTTTTAAAGGCAATCTTTTCACAATTTTGTTGAGTATTAAAATGGCACACCATGTCTACATTTTACTCATGTTAAATCAATTACTCTGTAGTTTATCAGGCTCTACTGACAACCTGCTCAAACTTTAAGAGACGTTACATTGCATAATCCAACAGTTCATTCACCACTGCAAAGAACAAAAAGTAATTTTGCCATCCCCATGTCTAGAGTCTGAAGTCTCAGATTCTTCCATTCATTTATTTATTAGCTGCACTTTAATTTCCATGCCATTCAAATTCACAGGAGGAACTTTATAACTACAGAAAGCATCAAATAAGTTTGACGGTAGGGTGACTGCAGACGCAACCTGTCTTACATACAAAAGCCCCTCCAAGTAATGAGACGCAAACTGTAAGACATTAGTGTCAGGATTGTCAAACTTCACCTATAAAAGCAAAGTCTGAGCAACATAACACAAAAATGGGTAGTGGTTTTCTAAACCTGAATATCCGGAGTCCTTGTCAGATTCAGCTGCCGCCATACTGAAGTGATGGTTCAAGCTCTTCATTTCCGTCACTCTGCCCAATAGTTCCTTGAGGGTCTTAATAGATGACTATTTCGTCTCCATGCTTCCATAGTGCCACAGGCATCTTTTAACACGTTTTCCATTGAGGAACTGCAAAAATAGTTCAGAATAAAAAGGGACTTCGTCTGAGTCTAAGAAAGTCCCATCAGTGTAACACAACAAGGAAGGCCATGTTTGTCCTTACGAAGATCTGGTTATCAAAGATTTGTTGCATCTCTAAGCAATCTGTAGAATTCTACTGACCTCCTAGCTTCACATTTGCTATGTTTACCGCACATTTAGGTTAGCAAAGGTTTGCCAATAAAACCACGGTTTATTCCCTGTAAAACTCTCTAAACAATCCATGTTTAGTATCGCATTACAGAGTAGAAAAGATAGGCAACAATTCTTTGCATCAACTGACATGTTACTTTGTAGTATCTTCTGGACTAAAGTTTTCCATCTGCCTTAGGCTGACTTTTTAAGTTTCAGGAAAGTTTCCGTGATCCAGTCTTTCAGTCCACTGCATCGAATGCAAGAGAATAGTATCATACTAGGCACGGCTGTTGAGTCTTTTAGGGTAGGTTAAAAGATGCCAAAAAAATCTAAGGCATAGGAAGAAAGAAATTATTTGAAGGAGAAATATGGTACAGATATTTTACTTTCTAAAAATTTCTTTATTTTTTACTCCTGCTGTGAATGCCATCAATGAGTCAAAGGTATTCTAGAAGTACTGAAAACATGGATGCAGTTGAAGGGGCAGAATGCACCCGTCTCAGATCCTTTCTTCAGTGTCTGAGCAAGTCAGGAGTAGAGGACACGGATCAGCCAACCTTACTGAATTACTTGAAGTCGAATAATTTCATACTTAGAACTACTAAGCAAAGTACACAGTAGATTAATCTGGAGAGCACAACACTTAAGTACTTTCTAACTCTGTTATTACAAATTCTGTCAGACAAGGTAATAATTCCTTACTGTACACACAAAACTTGGGCAACAGGAACATGATTTGATCTGCTAAAAGTGCAATGCCCAACTCTGTGAAGTTCAGCAACATGGGTAACCAAGATAAAATAGCAGATACAAAGTGTATGGTCATTATCTGTAATTAAATCAATGCCCCTCTGAGTCAAGTGAGATAGTTATGTATCTCTTTTTACACTGCCAGTGAGCTAACTGAAGACTTTCAGAACAGAAATATCTCAAATTATTCAAAGAAGGACACGCAGATAGAGAATTAATGTATTAGGTATGTTTCTCCACCCCCAAAAAGCAAAACAAACTAAAAGCTAAAGGCTATTCATAAACAACCAAGAATTTAAAGTTATTAAGGCCATATGTATCTCACAAAAACTTAGCTATCCCAGGGACTGAATCCCAAAACAAGCCAGCGGTGCTGGGTGAAGCCCCTACAACAAATACAACTGAACCTGCAACGCTGTGGTTTTGTTAATAGAGCCTGTTTCAGTCTCGAAAGTAAAGTAAGTCAGAGAAGAGAAAGTAACGTAAGTGATCAGAAAACATGCTGGGGCTAAAGAAATCCATACTGCTAGAAGTGCAACACATACTATACCTGCAGTGCACTCCTAGGGGAGACATGGCCTTAGAAATTCCCTCTTCTTCCCACACCCAGAATGAGAACACCGGAAGGCTGAAACTAAAAGCTATGAAAATCAGAAAAATGTATAGTTACATTATGGCCTCCCATGCTATATACTTGTCATAACCTTCAGCTGCTTCCTGAGGGTAAGCACATTCTAGTAAGACAGCGCAAAGTTTCTGCTTCTCCTAAAGAAGGTAGTTAAGAGTCTGGCTAACAGAAAAATGACAGGATTAAGTGCAGAAATTATGTCTAATACTATTTGTAGAAATTATTTTCCTATAAAGCAGTCCTTTGAAGTTGTGTCTCATGTTAGAGCTGTATATTTAAATTACACAAGTCCGCATCATAGTCAGGACAACAGTCTGTTAATGGCAGTATCCAGTGCAAGCTACTTCAAATGACATTGCAGCAAATATTCTGGAATAATCTACCTTGAAAGGCAAGCTTCTTCTTAAGGTCCTGACAACTGTCTGTTAGAATTCTGCTCCAAGATCTCAAGCCTTGGCACCTCCAGTGATGAATTCTGTACATTAGATAAGAGTGCTGAGATGGTAAGGTGATTGTCTATACAACTACAAGGCAGAATAATGGTCAGCAGAAGACAATTTCCTCAGTAGCTATTTGCATAATTTTTACTTTCCATCTTCAGTCACACCTGCCAACCTGCTAACAGGCATGGAGCAAACATAGCTACATAAGATGCTATTCCTAGAATGGAAGATGAGGTTTAAGATGAGGTTTAAGTCCCAAATCCATGCTTTTGTTACTTAGCCCTTTCCAAAACAAATGTATTTTTTAAGAAAGTGATCCATATTGATACTAATTTCCAAAAAAGCAGAACTAGTAACAGAAGGAGAGCTAGAAATAAGTAAAATAAGAACACAACGCCTGCTAGCCTTACATCACGGGAAGCTCTAGGAAGGCCTAGCACGTCTTTTTCTTTCCGGGGGAAAAAAAAAAAAAAAACAGTAACAACGAC